CCCACCCCCACACCCACACCCACACCCACACCCACACCCACACCCACACCCACACCCACACCCACACCCAAAACTCCTAATATGAAAAATCGATCGCTTTTCTCAATCAATATCTTTTCTTGAGCATCTGGTACAATTTTCGAATCTTTCAAACATTTGTAACCAGATTAGCAATTTGAAAGTTATTTGCGAACTAAACGGTTCTCAACAAAACGTTTTGTACATTGATCATTCACTGTTGTGTAGAGCATGATTATATAGGCTTGTCCTACAGTGCCGTCTTAATTATCATCCACATCTAGTTATCTCTTTTCCGATAAATTAAGAAAGCATTGAAGTAGCATAATTCACAGAAAAATAAGGCACCTCAATTCATGTCGTATTTGATTCATGAGTCTTATCATGTTCAAGCAGCTCTTTAGTATCAGCATAAAAACTCTTTTCATAGTCACTGAACTCACATGTTTCATCGTAATATTATTAACACAAATTCTATGATATTATGGTCAGATAGTTTTCAAAAACTGTAAGTGCCATGCTTAACTGCATTTTAGACAAACTCCAACATATCATTTTGACAATCTTCAAATTCAAAAAGTTACGCATAGCATGTCTGGAAAACTCTTGAAAAATTCTAGATATATTATGATAAATGATCTCAATAGGTCCCACAGTGTATACGTATATATGTAGACAGTATAATAGAATGGTATCTAATAATGGACAAATATGGGTAAAATATGGACGATATATGATCGGTCAATAGTCAGGAACGTAAGTTCTCAACATTTCAAGTTTTAAAAGAAAGGAGGTGCAACACCCTTTTTGCGTAAATCTAACGCCAAAAAATGTGTAAAAACCCTTTTTCTGATTTTATAGATAAAAAAAAACTAAGACTCCCCAGAGCAAGTTGGGCGTAGTGCCCCACACGTTCCCCTTGCTCAGTACGCCCCTATGTTTCACGTTAAATTTACCTTTTTCGAAAATACTGAAAGATTAAAGACTGATTTTGAATCACCAGAAAATTATCAAGCGATACGGTAAGTTTTAAAAATTTCGTAAGGCATTGCCGTACCACTAACCGCGACCATCTTTTAATACCAGCATGATCTCATTATAAGTAGCTTGTGTGATAAGAGACTTTCAAGGAAATTCCTCAGCCAAGAAAAGTATATGTTCATCCAATTTCGAATAAAATAGCTCCATTTTATATGATTTTCAAATGTTTTCTCTTTTGATACGATCACGAGAAGTTGAAATTAAATATACAATATCTTTTTTATTTCTTTTCGTTCTATGTATTGTATTATCTTTATAAGGGTCTATTTTTTATCACAAAAGAAATCACATATATCAATTCCAAAATATATATATGCGTATGTTCATTAACTAGCAAAAAGTATATAATAGACGATCTGCCTACTAATATCGGTATGAGCTATGTTTTAAAACAGTGACAGTTTGTCTCTTGAAAATAAATGATGTAATTTTTAAAATGAACACAACACAATTGATTTAGATTTCTGTAACTTAATTTCTATTTGATAAGAATGTATATCGTAGAATAGCATTATAATTTTTTGTGTAATTTATTGAACAAAGTATAACAATTTTTTTCAAAGTTATGAATTATATTGTAATTTATTTAAACGTTTTAATAAATAAACTATGTAAGTACAAATGGTTTGTTTAGAAGTACAAATAAAAACTTAAAAATTTTATAATTTTATGTTATAATAATAGACGTATTAGCGTTAATTGTGTAGTTCATGAATAGATAACATTGAAACATGTAAGATGATATTTCTTGAACGTTTTTCTTTAAAGCTTCTCGAAACAACTGTGCACTAAAATAAAAAATTAAGATTAAATTCAAAGAAAATATAATTCCTACATTATTGATTGAAAGATCAATATTTTTCTCTTTCGGAGTTTTCCTTGACGTTTAAATATCACAGGTACGTTTTTAGTTCAAGTAATAACTACTTCTGAACCACGCGCGTAGAGCTATGAAATGTAATGTACTGTTTATATTGTATTTAAATAAATGCGATTTACTTTTATTTATATCGAATTTACATATACCGGAAATAAAGAACGTCGGTTTAAGATTTAAATCCATGATTGACACATATCTTGCAAAGATATCATTGCATTGATTATTATTCTTTCTAAGGAAACGATGAATTAATTGACAGGATCATTGAATACAAGCCTCCTAATAAACGCATAATGTTTTAATCGCTTGACATTAACGATTGTGTCTATAATATCTTTATCTAGAAAATAAAGTACAAGAAGCTATTATAAATATTTCAGGGATTTATAACAAAGAATAACACATTCTGACATAATAGTTGTTGATTCTGGTGACTCCATTCGAATTGAAAAATTTATGATTTTAAAATTCGTTTATTTTCAGATCTGATATATATGAGTGAATTGCAACTTTATTGTACCGTTCATGGTTCTATATGTAAAGCTTTAATAAACCCAGTTCCTGTTGGCCAATCTTTATGAAATTTTTAGAGTATACTCCGGTAGTTGATGCTCACTACCACACAAAAAATCATGCATTTATCATTAACCCTTCCTGAGATACTGCATACACAAGTATGAAATGACTGGTTTCTGCTGCCACCTATGGACAGAAAATGACCTATTATTGATTGGTTTCCCGTCATTTGAATTTTGACAATTGTTGGCGTTTATAGTGGACAGTGTATATGTTACTAATATAAAACTTGTTGGTTCTTTTATCAAAGTTTACATCATATTTTTTTCGAATATCATATGTACTGTCAATAGTCAATATAGTGTCACAAGACATTTGAAAACGCGTTTATTATATAACAAAGCATTCAAAACTGGTCGGATTAGTTTTGAATGAAAGCTTATCAGTGGGGAATAAAAGTACTAAAAATTATAGAAAAGTTTCACTTTCTCTTGTTAAGAAAGGAATATCAAATAAAATTTCAAGACACAGTTGTCACACTAAATGTCACAAGAGATTTGATAGTTTGTGGGCTATATTAACTCTTGTAAATTAAGGCAAATTGACCTGATATTTTTATCATTTTATCTGCTAGTTGTGGTCATATATTGCTGAAAATATCACGGTTGGAAAATGCTTCTTTCGCAAAGCAGAGAGAAAAATGTTGTAAAAATGTCACAAGAGATTTCTATCTGCTTGTCACAAGAGATTTTTCTAAAAATTGGCATATTAGATTTTTATACAAATAACTATTTTGTAACTATGAATAAAGCATATAAAGGTCATATTTTGCGGTTTTCATGTTTAAATAGCTATCAAGACTCATACAAACTAACTCTATTTTATTTCTCACAGGTTATTAAATTTCGGTATAAGAGCATAATCTGAACATTGCTACTGCTTTGAAAAGCTGATGCTATAAATTTTAAAATAAAATGTAACTTAAAATAAATTATCCTATTTTCACTTCTAGTTCTAGATAAACTATGGCTTCTCACGTCAAGAAAAAGCGTCAAGATTATAATCGAAAATACTATCAAAAATTACAATACAAACGTGTTAAATCAGAATCATTTAATTCTGAATATATTCGAAAACAGAATGCTAGACAACAGAAATGTCGACGATTAAAGACAACAGCACAAAAAATATCAACGAATTCTACCGAATTAACAATTGCAGCTGCTCAAGCACCATCCAATACAACTGCACCACCAACAGTCAGAACAATCTTACGAAAAGCTGAAGGTATTCTTCGTCGACGAGCTAATACAAGAAAAATGAAAAATAAAAACGAAAAACTATCTAATGAAGTAAAAGTATTACGTAAAGAAAATTCCAAATTGAAGAGACTTTTGTCTCAACAACATTCAAAAGACAGTGAAACAAATGATATAACACCAGCTGCAACACCGACAAAATTATTTATTGATAATGTTAGTACAACTGCCAAAAAACGTGCAACTAAACGATTACTCAATAAAAAAGAAAATCTACCTCGTGGTTCTCTTTCAAAATTGAGAAAAAAATTAGGAATAAATTTGTCTAATAATTATAATCCACCATCTAGTACACCATCAATACTTCAGAAGGATATAGAAGAATTTTTATTACAAGATGATGTTACCAAACAAGCACCTGATAAGAAAAAACAATTACACGGGAAACAAATTAGATATTTATTGAACCATTTATCGACTATTCATCAACGGTTTATGACTGAAACTGGTAACAACTGTCATTATTCAACATTTACTCGATATGTTCCCGATTTTATCGTAAAACCAAGTGTCAATGACTGGGGTACATGTTTGTGTGCCATTTGTATTAATCCACAGATGAAATTAGAAAAACTACAAAATCTCAAGTCTCGACATTCAATTATAAAAACTGTTCTTATTGATGGTTTAACAGATATAACAGAGCTGGTGACGGATGAAATTAAAACAAAATATTTTATAAATAATTTAGCAACACTCAAACATGAACAGTTTAATATAACATATAGTGAATGGGTTAAGAAGAAAAATGAACAATCCAATGTACCCATTTCAACAAAAACTACAATTACTTCATCTATGGCAGATTTTGTAAACAAATTTGTGAATGAAATCGAGGTATGTTCATAGAGTTGTTTAAAAAAGAACATAATTCTATTTTTTTCATAGAATTTAACACACCATATTGACCGAGTGCGCCAACAATTTCGAGCAGCAAAGCAAGCGAAACAAATGGCAATCGAACAAGATGATACCGTTACTATACATTTAGATTGGTCGGAAAATTTCAACTTAAAGCAAGCGCGTCAAGAGAAAGGTAAATAACTGGATAGTCAATATCGACCTTAAGACTTAGACAGTACATTATATAGAATAGAATGTTACTCTGCTCATTGCACTACAAACGTTACCGTTCTCTTGAATTATTATCATCAAAAACTAAAATGTATTTTTTTAGCTTCGTATTATTATGAACAACATGTATCGATATTGAGTGGCTATTTGTGGAAGAAAAGTAATTGTTACAGTTTTGGCTCAATATCTGATGACACTAACCACATGGCCGATGCTGCCTGGACAGCGATACAACATATATAATACACTCCTACATTCGTATAGTCGAGAGCTAGCTTATTTTCTACAACACGACTATATATACTACTACAAATATAGTTCTTTGTGCGTATGATCTGATGCTCCTTAAATATATTTGAGTAAATTTGTAGTTTAACAAGCGTCTAATGTATATGAAAAAACTCACATTTAGGGACATTTTCATATAATTTTAAAATTGCTGTAACTCAGTCAATTGAAGAGTGGTAGTCGGGAAATTTTATACATATACTCCTGTCACCTAGTACAATAAGATACACGGCTCATAACCCCTAAAATCGAAAAAAAATTTTTCGTCGATATTTTCCTCAAAACGGTACAATAAACTTGCAATTCACTCATATATGTCCCAGGCAAAATTTCCTTTTTTTCTCTTTTTTTAGTAATAAAATAAAATTCGAATCTTTTCGAAAATGAAAGATATGTGCTTGTATATTTATATAATCGAATAGACTACAATTTTTAATTCTCTAAATTATAATAAATATAACAATGACCTCTATATTGTCAATAGATAATGAATCACGACAATGTTTTTACAAGCAAGCAGATCAATACATAAATTCATTTAATAGTAAATTCCAAGAAAAGGCAGTGATTACTAATAAAATGAATGAAAAGATAATCGTTTGTCTACAAAATAATTCACGTTTTATATCATGGTATCTTAATTCATTTCCATTACGTGTAACTGGAACACGTCAACTTTTATATGATATTAAATTTAGAAAACCTATTTTGATATATCGAAATATGTATGATATATATAAAAGGATTCACATTGAAACTGCATACGGTGGTTGAGATAAATGTCTCGATAGTTTAGTCACTAATTATAGTTGGTTTAACAAAGATTTATTACAGACATTTTAAAAAAATTGTTCGCCATGCCAAAAAAGAAAATCTATACTTAAACCGACGTTGTCGAAGGCAATCTTTGCATTAGGTTAGACAACATTAATGATTTTTATACGTCAAATTTATTAAAAATATTCAAAAAATATGAGATTTTTTTTTGATATTAATATATTTATCTTTCTATAGAAAATAAAATAGAACAGATTATGTATAGACTTTACATAGAAGTTTTATCACATTTCTGAATATTTTACTGAATTTATTCTTTTAATTAATATACTATTATCTCACGATTTGAAATTTACGACAGAAGTCCAAGTGGATCTCATTGATATTAGAACTCGGCTGGATGCTAGTTCTAATGGCAACATTTATAGATGGATCTTACAACTTAAAGACCATTTTACTAAATTTTGTTAGACAAGAGCTTTAAAACACAAAGAATCACGTGAAGTGTACTATTGTGTACGGGAAATATTTCTGATGTTTGCTCCACCACTTATTCTTCAAAGTGATAATAGAAAAGCGCTTATCAATGAATTAATAAATAGTCTACAAGTAGTTTTTCCAAGTGAGAATTAATATACTAATGCTATAACTATATAGCAATTTATGCATTTTAATTTCATAAAATACATATAATTATTACACTTAATTCTATTACTTTACAGCCTAATTATTTTTCATTTGTTTATCAAATATTATTTCTTTTTCGTAAAGATATGCGTATTGTTCATGGAAGACCTCGTCTTCCCCAAACTCAAGGTATTAATTGACGTACCAATGCTATTCTCATTGATATACTTGGTAAATCAAGAATTTATATTAAAATTCATGAAATCAAGTATCAGGAAGAGTTACACTAGTATTGCATTTTCAATTACATGGGATGCCAAAGAGAGAAATACGGTAAGTGATGATGCAAAAGGAAATCGTAAAAAATCAATTAAAAAAATAATAATAAAATGTACCGATAAATCTTGTTAAGATCTTCTCGTTGCGTGAGCTTATACCATTACCACTATTCTTCCTGTATACATTTTTTTCTTTGCATGTCTTTTGACTCATATAAAGAAATATTAACTGCTTTGCGTTCTCTTTCTCAGATATAAACTCTTTCTTTCTAAGAACATTTTTGTCAATTTTAAGCTAAATCTAATATATATTATATGTAATTACAAGTAACGCGTATGCTATAGGTTCGCGGGCCCTTTTCTGAAAGAAAATTTCCTATGATTATCATTAACAATAATTTTGATTTTGATTGCATGTCAAGGAAGAGAATCTGCTCAGGATCTACTGATCATAAAATCTTAATCGAACAAGGTTCATTTTTAATTTGAGGAATAGATGATCAGTCGCAGCCGTATGTCTAATTTTTTTAAAAAACTGACCTGGTTCAAAGAGTTTAAGTAGTTGTGATGCCGCATATTTGAGATTTTTTTCACTTTAAAAATAATTTGGGGAAAGCAACCTTAACCCTAGTCCTCCCAACATGGGTCATTTTTGACCTAGACGTAGAAATTTAGAAATGCAGTGTAATGTTTTCATAGTTTCGGGTTTAAAGGAATATCTATCATCTATTATGAACATAGAGCTGTTGCATAGTCTGAAATGAAACTCATTTCTCTTATTTCATCTCATTCAAATCTTCAATATAATATAGTACAATTTCCTCAGTATTTAACATAATACTAGGTACGAGAGCAAATTAAATTTTTGAATAAAATCTAAGACTCATACGCCATTTTAACTGTATATTTATCCCCAATCTGCTTAGAGATATTTATTGATTGGACTTTGGACTATCCAGTTATGATGATATATGAAACTTTAAAAAAATGTTATAATTGCTCTGCATTTGTTTGTAATGAACATGGTGTAAAGCAAATTTTTGTATTAGTGGTTCTAAATAAAGAACTAACATACTGCCAGTATTTTTCTGTCAAGCTCGATATAGCAGTAGCATCCTTTTGTCGAGATAGTAACCTCAAAACCGAGAAAATCATTTACAGAAGCGTAAATTGCTATTTTAGTGCGTAAAAGAGCACGGGAGGACTAGGATGAATATTTCTAAATAATCAGAAAAATTGATGCTTTGAAAAATATTGATCGATTTTTCAAAGTGTATATCTTGAAATGGTTCGCTAAACGTTTACTCAATAGACGTTGTACCATTTTCAAAAATAGATCTTAAATTCGAGTTTATCATCCTTAGTTAAGTCTAACCAAGTTTATTACAAATATCCGATCGTATTTAATTGTTCAAGATTTCATATTTTTTAATCCTGAACTCAAACTCATTTGAACAAAACGAACAGACAAATATTCATGACTCTAAACGCGATATTTATCGCTACTCAATTGTTTCTTTGAAAAAATACAACTAGATGTCGTTCAAATGTTTCACTTTTTTCAGCTAGTTTAATAGACACAACCAAATAGGGATATGTTTGGAATCACCCCGAACCACGATCATTTGAAAAAACAATATTCATTTAAAATGCTACAATCACGGACAGCTTCTAAGGATTGTGAGGGTCGTACAACTATATCTATTCTTCTTCACGCCACATTTGTATTCACAAGTCTTTTATTGAATAGATCTTGTTACGTCAAATATGTAATTAAGATTTGTTTGCAGCTCAAGAAACAAATCACTTGACAATTTCTCAAAAAACTTCAAATCTCACTTATTGAATTTAGAATAAATCTTTCCAATCAACATCTAATCGTTTGTCGGCCTCTCTTCGATCGGCCACTCACGGCTAGTTGTTACCATATATGGTCTATTGTTCTGTTTACACTGTGAAAAAGGGCATCTGAGTCAACCGTTTCCCTTAAAAAAATGTCCCATAAATCTTTGAAAAGTTCATTTTGATGTCAAGTACTCTTCAGGAGTTTAAAAATCAAAACGTTTTTGGCAGTGAGAGTATATAAAAATGAAACGGGTATGGAATACATATTTAAGGGTTTGCTACTCAACGTTTTCATCAAACCAGTTTATTCTTGTACCGACAAGGACACATTATCCAACGCTTTTGTTAAAAGCATATATTTTTGTACACATAAGGGTGGGTCACTCTAAAACACTAGCACAAGAGTTTATTATTCTACACATAACTATAGATCATTCGATCATTGCAGGAAAACAGTAGATCACTCTAGAGTTTTAGATAACGAATTTATTATTGGACGACAGATGGCAAGTTGTTCTACAAACTTTTAAATAGCTCTTTAGTCTACGTTTATTTGGGAAAGATTTATTATTTACATTGCTAACGGTAGATTGTTTGACCGTTAGATAAGAAAAGGGTTTTATATTCTACGACTGAGGGTAGATTAGTTCACAGTTCGATGAGAAAAAGTTTTGTATTCTACAACTGAGGTAGATCATTCTAAAGATAGGTAAGAAAGAGTTTTCTACTCTATGATTGAAGGAAGACTTTTTGCGGTAAGTTTTTTTACTGTTTTATAAAGCGCTAGCCTTGTCAACTTGTAAGTCAACCTCGTACACAAAAGTCTTTTTTAAATTATCAAAATTTCTTTACTTCAAACCGATAAAACTTCATTATACATACACATTAAAATTCAATAGGGACTATTTTCTCAAACCAAAACCCACCATTTAACTCTTGAAAGTATAAAAAATTGTTTTAACCAAATCAGAAGCTCCCAAACCCACTCTTTAGATAATGACATAATTATTTTAAAATAGCTATGAAAAATCCGAAATACTCATTCTCGCTTCTTAACACGTACTGATAAGTCGTATTTTGTCTTTCCTTTCTATTCTCTACGTATTATATAATCTCGCTTACACTGCGTGATATATTTTTGTACTTAAAGTTCATAATTATATTATTACTGGTAAATCAATTAATGTACCATTATCAACTGGTTTTAATCAACAAAAATGTCAATGTCAACATTCTATTAATGTCGCAAGTGAAAATGTTCTTTTGAACTCAAGTTCGATTAGTCATCAACATACTTCTACTAGTGGAACTTCTGAAGTACAATTAGTTATTTCTCCAACACGTCCATCACGTAGATGTCCTTCTAATGCTTTTAATGATGGTGATTTTCAAGATGTATCTTATCAAAAATCAAAACAGATAAACAATCAAAGTGGTAGTGAAATTCGTTCTCAATTATTACATTATCATAATGTTGCTGATACAGTTAATGATAATGTGAATATGAATTTAAATGTTAATAATCATGTTACTACTGCTTCATCAGTAATTTCAAATAATTTTCCAACAGGTCATAATCAACACCTTCAGCTCGTTATGCGTTGACACGTTTTCCTTTTCCACCACACATAGTACGATTTAAATCTACCAATGTTTCAATTACTCATTTTAAAGCAGAGGTGATCAAGCATTATAAATCTGATCATAATCTTACTA